GTGTGTGTGTGTGTGTGTGTGTGTGTGTGTGTGTGTGTGTGTGTGTGCGTGCGCGTGTGGCTAGGGATGGGTGAATGAAATGATTTGGAGGAGTTCCGCAGCAGGAAAAGGTTTGTGTTGGGGCTTCAAGAGAGAGGGGAGTGAAAAAAAAAAAAGAATTACTGATTAACGGGTAGCTCAGGAGGGAACGGATGGGTTTGAGGAGAAGTTTAATGGAGGCGTGTGTAGAAGTGGCTGTGTGTGTGTGTGTGTGTGTGTGTGTGTGTGTGTGTGTGTGTGTGTTTGGGGTCTCTGAAATTAATTAGAAATGTCCTCAAAACCCCCACAAATCAAACATCAGAGTTGTTTTGAAGTTAAATTTGAAGTAGATGCTGGAATCAATATGAGACCGACCCCATGCAAGCCTCCGGCTCAAGTTCAGCTATGACATTCACAGTAAAGTCAGTTATTCGCTGTAACCAGAAAGACATAATATGACTTTAGAAGAAGCATTGAGTCTTTAGAGTTTGAGCATTGTGAGCAAACAAAGGGTTGGACGAGTTAAAACACTTATAGTGTATACCAGAAGAAAACATTGTTTCTTTGCTACATTTATGCTACATTTCAGTGGTGTGGTGGGCCGTCAGGGCCAGCAAGGCCTTCTCTGCAGGCTTAGACAGAATCAAAAAGTTATAGCTATTTTATAATTTAATAATTTTTCATAAATACACTACATGTATTCTAAATATTTTTCCCATTATCTTATTTTCTCATTGCACAGCTACTGTCTTCCTCAGTTGCTCTGCTTCCAGTGCAGCTTGTTTTAAGTAGAGCTTTTATCCAATCAGATCTCACCTCTGTGTCTCTAGGTAAGAAGAGAGGCCCGAGGCCTGCAGACTCACAAGTGAATCCCTTTGCAGTTTAAGTGAATGGGGACGATATTGTTGATTGTCATAGTGTTCATCCAATCACATCTTTAGTTTGACATGTTGGACGTATTGTTTGACATGCCAGAGCCTGCTAGCTGGCCTACAAATTCTAAAGGTTGTCAAGAGATTTCACTCTGGATGAAAGCTTTGGAACAACTGCTGTAAAGTACCAGGCCTTTAATTAAAGGTGCCTGAATACATTTATTTTTGTCATTCCTCAGTCTCAGTGATGTGAGGCTGTGAGTCGATCCTCTGTGTTCCTGTTTACTGTTGCTTTGTGTTTCTCATGTAATTTGGACTTCTCTTTTCTTTTAGCTCAGTGCTGATTGCAGTCCTTTGTTGCATTGAGTCCGATCGTTGGCCACAGTCTGTCTGGTTGTGCTTGCCACTTTCAGTCTCACTGGGAACCTCCTGCAGCAGAGGAGCAGTAAAGTAATACCGCTGCTTCTGAGAATCACTTTGTGTCACATCCAGCACATTTCACGGGAACACAGTGCCCACTCACAACGTGGCGCACGCACACACTTGACATCTGGAGGAGAGGCAGTTTTCACAGTGACCAAAAACACTGTGGCAGCACCAGTTAGAGAGTCACTGTAAAATCATAGTCAAGTACTCAAAGGAGCATCGAAACACTCCTCCACAGTCTCCTTTCTGCTTATAAATATGTTTGCAAAAAAATAAAATTGGGCGTAATTGGTGGGATTTAATCAAGTAGGTATCTTCCAAAATATATGTTGTTCAACCATAACTCCCTGTTTGTGTTTCCACGGGCAGTGTTTCCTTGTTAGGCTGCGGAGGGACAGCAATGCAAAGAGGTCAATTCAGGACTACGTTTGGATGATGCCCACTTGATTTGTCTAACAGAGACTGCTGAAGTCTCACGTGAGCTTCAGATAAACTTTGTAACACGGAACGAGGACGGTGGATTTTGCCGCCTGTCGCTTAAATTGGAAGCACCTTTAAAAACTGTAATACACACTATATTATAACTGTCAGGTGCCATAAACTCACCCCACCAGAAGGAAAAAAAACACAGCCAGTACCGTCAGCACTTACTGCTACGCTAGTCATTTGAAGCAGGGAGTTAAGTCATTTCAGGAAGCAGTTCACTAACGTGAGATAATGAGCTGTCAGCAAATCTCTCCTGTTACCCGCTGGGATCCAATCAGAACAAAGACTTTGCTGAGAGCAAATTAAAATGAATCATTTTAGTGTAGTACCTTCTGTAAGAACGTAAAAGTTAAGTTTCCATGCAACAAAATACATTCAAAAGTTTCTAAACTTGATGACTTGTAGCATCTTACACAAGGTCTTAAATAACAGTTTGACAAATAGCATAAATGTTACAGATGGTCACTTGAATGCTAGTCATACTTTAGTTTTCTTCATAATGACAGAGCTTCTCTAATTGCAGAGTACATTTATTTATTATTTGAGCATGAATGACAATTGAGGAGAGTTAAAGATTCTGGGGCAAGAAGAGAGGTAGAGACGTGCTGCCATCTAGTGGAAGCTGTAGTGATGTACACTCTCTCTTTGTGTGTGTATGTTTGTGCATTATGGGGAACGGGTGTGGTTTTTCTTAGATGCTGCTATGTTGCGTGGTGCATGTGACACAAATTTGAGTGTGATTGGACGATGATTGTCTCAGTTTCACAGAGAGAAATGTTCCCTTTTTCAGAAGGTAACGCACGTTTAGACCT